TATTAATTAAACCAATAACTAATACATTTAAGCAATACTTACAAATCCAGCAATGATAATGACACACAGACACACTAGAACTCGGAGCATGCTCAGGACTCGTGCACCCCTATATTTGACTCGAAGGGTGGGGAGGCAGCTTCAGGGTGATCAATCCTTTAGCCGGGCAAAAAAAAGACACGTGCCCTCAATACACGGCACCTCCGTCGAACAAAGGGGTAGAGGGTCTTTTATACAAAAATTCGGTGTCTGATGCCATGCTAGGGTCTGCATTTGGCAGGGCCTGATAGGCTAGTGATGAGGTAGTATAACAATACTGCCCTATAGGAATTTTCGTGATGTATGCGTGATCCCCTCGTGGACAGGACCAGATGGGGCATAGTTAGTGTAAGACAATTGTGTTTTATTACCTTATGTTTACTTTTTCCCCTTGCCCCTAAGACCGGTCAAGCTACGGTCAAATGAGGCTTATCTGTAAATTCAGCTAGGCGTTATCTAGTTATGCTTACCTCCCTATTTTCTTGGTGCCTTTGAGTTCCAGGATGCCTATAAGGTCAAATTCCATTCACAAAAACTGCATTGTGCTTCCCATGCTCCTCTGAGTATCTGGGTTTTGTGTGAGGGGCCTTGTGTGGCAGGATGGGCTATACGCGAAGGCCGTGGACAGAAAAAGCCTGCTTTACAACACTATAATGAAGAGTGTAAAAGTGCTGCATAGTCCTGTCTTTTGTTTCAACCAATTCCTGAATGTCACTATGTTCTCTGAGGAGTCCTGCCTGGTTCTCCTGCAGGAACCATGGGGAAATGTACCTCTTGCTGCCACAGAGGTGCTAGCAGCCCTTTCACACTCTTCATTGTAGCAGTGTCGGAGGCCAGTCAGGAAGAAAGGCAGCAGGTAGCGGTGTTGCACTGAGTATGATGGCATCAGGACTTTGTGAGCCATATTCTTGGGTCTGGTGAGCTGTGCTTGGCGCAGGACTTGTGGTTGATAGAAACAAGGTGGCTTTACGTCCCCCTAAACCTGGAGCTGGTGTCTGCTTTCCTCTGCACTTTCCTTAGTAAAGTCTCCTCCTAAGGACCATTCCATAACCTGCAAACTGCTGCAGTGCAAGATGTTCTTGCAGCCCAAAGGAGAAAGGACAGGCCACCCCTATTTTAGGCCTCCTGGGGATTCCCCTATATCAGTTTTCCAGAGCAAAGCCAACCCTTAGATTGGGGGCTGAGAATCTGTTCTCTGTATATCCTGAAGCCCTATATAGCCAAGGGATGGCACATAAGTGATACTGCCTTATCGCCTAGGGGTGATGCCTATGTTATTTCCACTCCATGGTTACACATGACTCTGAACTGAGTTATCCTGAGATATAAAACAGCCAAGGGACCAATGGTGCTCAGGTACCACAGTGATCCTCACCTCAGAAGCACCCTGGATAGCTTGCTAACTGTTGTGAAAACATGCTCTTATTTCTCCCACTTCGCTCTTCTTCCATTCCCGCCCCCCGTCTTGCGCCTTGTCTGTATGATCTTGGACCAGGGACTCTCTTTTACACATGGGGCCCTCACGGCTCTACCACGGTTCAAAGAGCAATGGCATGTTTGCTTAGAAACAGCAGAACTGAATGTAAAAAGCAGAAGTCCGCCCTCGGAAGCTCTAGGTAGTGTGTAGACCTAATCCTCACAGCTCGTTATCGTTATCACAGCTCAGAGGGACTTGCTCTCACTTCCTTCTTCCCACTGCTTATCTGTGGCCTTCACTTTTGTCCCTGAGTCCGGAAACTCTTTTTGGCAGTGACTGTCTCTTTGTGTTTGCAGCACCAGGAGCACTCAGTGTTAAATACAAGTGACTACAATCACATTAAGTAATTAATAACCAAATACACGTTTCCCCAGAGAGCAGTAGAGATCAAAGCAGCAGCCTCAGCCACTCTCAGTCAGTGCTCCAGCCACAAATGTTCTCAGCCACACTCCTGCAGGGCTTTGTCTCTGGACTAATCAATTTAAACACAGCTGCAGTGATACCATTTGTTGCAACAATGTATCTGAGTGTACTAAGCTGTTTGTGGCCAATAGAAACACAGCAGACCCATGTGGCCTAGTTTTCCAAGGTGCAGATTGAGGGAGCTGCTTGGGGAAGGCTAGGTTCAGCACGTGGGAAGATTAGACACAGGGGCTGTGTCTAGACTGCCCAGTTTTTCTGGAAAATCAGCCGCTTTTCCAGAAAAACTTGCCAGCTGTCTACACTAGCCGCTTGAATTTCCTCAAAAGCACTGACTTCCTACTGTCTGAAATCAGTGCTTCTTGCGGAAACACTATGCTGCTCCCATTCAGGCAAAAGTCCTTTTGCACAAAACTTTTGCGCATAAGGGCCAGTGTAGACAGCTGAGATTTGTTTTGCGCAAAAAAGCCCCGATCATGAAAATGGCGATCGGGGCTTTTTTGCGGAAAAGCGCGTCTAGATTGGCACGGACGCTTTTCCACAAAAAGTGCTTTTGCGGAAAAGCATCTGTGCCAATCTAGATGCTCTTTTCTGAAAATGCTTTTAACGGAAAACTTTTCCGTTAAAAGCATTTCCGGAAAATCATGCCAGTCTAGACATAGCCAGGGAGTGCAGCTTAGTCCCACGGCACAACCTTTTAGTTGTTGGACTGACTGAGTAGCACTGTACAACAGACGGCTCCAGCTGAGGGCAGTTCATGCAGAATGAAGGAGGTTAAGAACTGCACACAGGGATTAGGAGAAGGCTCTTGATGCTGAGCTACACAGGTAGGGCATGAACGAAAAGGGGAGCCTGTAAAGGCTGGGCTGGCTGGCTCCATTTCCAGGCGCTGGTGTGGCACAGCTGCAGCTATGCTGCTCTAGCACTATTGTGCAGAGTTGCCCCCCTACCTCCACAGACGGGGGGGAGGGGAGGTTCCATTGGTGCAAAGAATCCACTTGCCTGAGAGGCAACAGCTACATGGAGGGAAGAATACTTTCATCACCCAGCTGCCATCACACTGGGGTCTGGTTGGCTTAACTTAACACTCTCAAGGGTGTGAATTTTTCAACCTCCCAAGGAATGGAAATAGGCCAGTCTCAATATTATGTGCAAACCCAGGCTCAGTGATGTGCAGATCAAGCATTGCTGCCTGCTGTTTCAGGGAGCCCCTCCTATCCTGCCCAGTCGAACTCATGCCACCAGCTTCTCCCTCCCTCCCTCCCTCCCTCCCTCCCTGCTGTCACTGTCCAGGCAAGAGACAGGCTCTCCCCTTTGCTGCCCACCATCCCACAGGCTTCTTCCTTCCTAGGTGCACCCAGGAAACAAGACTTGACCCTTCGTCTTCTTAACACCTGGTGCATTCAAAAAGCAGGTCCTCCCCAACCCCTGACATGCTACAGCTTGTTTGCTGCTTGCAGTGCGTCAGAAGTTGCAGGATGGAGGTGAGCTCTGGGAAGCCAGGTTTTTTCTTCCCTCTGGCACTATGTCAAAATGATTTGGAATGCCAGGATATAAAGGAGATGGCTGGGTCAGCCCATGCAGCCTTCTGTCCTATAAAAGTAGTAACTAGCCCTTCCACCAGAGGAGCTTGGTGCCTTGCTAGCACTGACAGACACTCCTTACCCCCATTTTGTGAGGAAGCTGAGGGCAGTGAAGGACTATGCTTTCTACAGTCACTCTGCAATAGGGCAGCCACGCTTGTGGGTTGGAAATAAGGGAAGACTGCATGAATGATAAGGACAACAGGGTTTTTTGAAGGGTGATTTACAGTAACTCCATTTGCATAGCATGTAATCTTCTCTCCTGTACATTTCTGCTGCACACAAGTATGTGATGCAATTATCATGAGCTTCAATTTAATATTTAAGATGGTCAAGAGACAACACTTAAAATAAGGGCCAGGTGGTTCCTCTAAGGGACAAATCAATGGAATATGGGACAGCTGGTCGGTCACCTACACACAAGTCAGTAGCAGAACCAAGAACCACACCCAGAACCAGGGGCAGATGACTGTTTTGCGGGGCCCCGGGCAGCATAACTCCGCAGGGCCTCCCCTTTGCCTCGGCGCATGCGCCGTGACGCCATGCACATGCGCTGTGGCGCCACAGCGCATGCGCGGGGCTTTTTTAAACACGGGCCGCCCCGTTCGCCCTGCCCTATATCCGCCCCTGCCCAGAACACCTTCTCATAGAGCTGTGCATAAAACCTCTAGGCTGCATCTAGACTGGCATGATTTTGCGGAAATACTTTTAATGGAAAAGTTTTTCTGTTAAAAGTATTTCCGCAAAAGCGTGTTTAGATTGGCACGGATGCTTTTGCACAAAAAGTGCTTTTGCGCAAAAGCATCTGTGGCCAGTCTAGACGCAATTTTGTGCAAGAAAGCTCTGATCGCCATTTTAGCCATCAGGGCTTTTTTGCGCAAAACAGTTCTTCCCTGTTTACACTGGCCCTCTTGCACAAGTATTCTTGTGCAAGAGGGCTTTTTCCCAAGTGGGAGCGGGAAATTATTTGTGCAAGAAGCACTGATTTTGTACATTACAAAGTCAGTGCTCTTGAGCAAATTCAAGCGGCCAGTGTAGACAGCTGGCAAGTTTTTGCACAAAATCTTGCCAGTCTAGATGCACCCCTAGACTATGAGAACCCCCCCACATTGTCATGCCCCCACGTGAGAGTCCTCTCCCCTGTCCTCATGGTAGCTCTCAGAAGTGGGGCTGAGTCTCTCCTCATTCCCTTGAAGTCCAAGCCATCTCACCTGGGGTTGTCTCAATTTCCTCACCTCTCTCCCCCGCATCAAAACGGCCACTGCTTTAGGACCTGATGCCATAGCAGAGCTTTTCCACTCCATGTTGATTTTTAATCAGCATTAAAGCTTCTCAACCTCAGGGGCACAGAGGGTTGTCAGAGGCACGGGGAGGCAGGAGAGCAGGGCAGGTAGCCAAGCCGGAATAACTAGTTTAGTCAAAAACAAGGGCTCAAGAACAAGACAGACATCTGCTTGTCCCTCCAGCCTGGATCAATTAATCTGGCTCAAAACAGCCCCAACCTGTTTTCATGGCCCTTGTGGATTTACTTGCTGGAAACCTAGCTCCGAGGTAGCCTTGGCACTTCCCTCCTGTGAGCCAGGAATCCACAGGCCCTGGGTTGTTTACAGCACAGCTCCTGGGTAACTCATTGACCTCAGCATTCAGCCGCACTGCTGGGAAACAGAGGTCCCCTGGAAGATAAGCTGCTCTCACAAGAAATTCTTTTCCTTGAGCGAGGGAGTGGCTGTGTTGTGCCTGCGTGCCTGGCTCCTAAGCACAAACACGCTCTCCCTGACTTGCGTAGGCTGGATGTGCAGCTCTCCTCAGGCACAAGGGTGCCCACAAAGTCTCCCTGGGGCACTTCTGCACGGACCTGACCTACAGAGCCACCTAGAGAGAATGCTGCGGAGTAGAGTGAACTTGTGCCGATGAGTAATCAGGTCAGTACAGTTGCTTGCTCTGCTTGGCAGTTGCATTTGCCTTCTGTGACAGTCTGCCTGTCCTGCTGCTGTACCTCTTGATCACCTATGAGTAAACATAAGTGGGAGGCAGAGTTTGTAGGCATTTTTAGCAGCCCTGTGGGTAGGAAAGAGTCACTTACAGCCTGGCGGAGAAGCTGAGGGATTTTCTGTCCCAAATGAGTTAGATGCTCAGGTACCTTGGCATAAGAGCCTGAGCAGAAGAGACTAATTTGGTTTTTTTAGGGGACTCAGAGGTCTAATGAGCAGGGAAACACAGAACAGAGCTGGCAGGCTTTCAGGTTTTACTGAAGTGAATTTAGTGTTGGTGGAAGGTGTTGTGGCTGGCAGCCCTGGAGACCAAAGTCTGCGGTGTTATTACCACCGTAATAACATGTATGGGCAAAGCATGGGCAAGGGGCAAATGTGGGGCAGCCTCCCCACCCTATGCCTTTGTGTGCCTCAGTGACCCAACACTTGGAGGATCTAGTCCTAAGAGAGGGCTGGGAAGTGAGTCTCAGGGGTTCACTGAGAACCTGACTTCATTACAGAGACTGCCAAGCAGGGTCCATCTAGTGCCAGCTGTGCTGGAGGGTTTGTGATAGGGACCCCCTCTTGCCTTTCACAGGGCTGGCTGTTCACCTAACCCAGATAAGGCTCCAAACCAGGGACTGTGTCTGTGTGCGAAACTGTTTGCTTAGTCCCTCAGATAAGGGTTTTCAGAGGAGCTCAAAGCCAGATTTGTAAATGCTTAGCACCCAGAGCTCAAGGAGAGAACAGGAATGGGGGCAGGGCTCATCAAAATGTGTTCCCAGTACAGCAGCCCCTGTCTGGTGGGGAGGTGTGTGGATTTCCCATCTGAAATCTTCCCCCACCCCAACTCCCTGCTTTTATAGGGACAGCTGAAATTCACACCTGGATTTGAATTTTGCCACTGATTCCTGGATCTTTATACTGGGAGGCCAAATACCCCCTAATTTTGGAGTTTTCAAAATCTGAAGCTAAACTCTGTGCGACTTGAGCCTATTTCCAGCCTTTTCTTATAGCCAGGAACATGCTCCTTTGGTCTGAAGGCACCAATGGGGCAGGACTAGGGAAACTAGCATGGTTTCTTTCTAGCCCACTTTCTGTCCACTCCCCTCAGCTGCACAGCTTTGCAGAGAGACTAGAGAAAGGGGACTTGTTTGTTCTATACAAAGCAAGGCCAGGAAGAGGAAGTTGCAGCATGTCTGAAGGGCTGCAAAGAAGGGGAATCATTACAAGAAGTTGGTCAGAGTGTGGGGTCAGGCCTAAGAGAGGCTAGGCACAGTCCAGGCACTAGTGGAGAACAGGAGTAGAACTGGGAAGAGAAAGAGAATGGCATGAGGGGTCTGATAGTTCAGAATAGATAGAACAGAAATAAAACCCAAAATGTTGAAATTCTCCAAAAGGCCTGGAATTGGCTCCCCTCTTGGCCCCACAGACATCAGAAGCCCTGGGGTCCCTGGCTTTGAGTAGATCTTAATAGTGGCCAGTCCTGGGGCCTTGCACCATGGAGTCTCTGACTCTCAGGCAGATTACCTGGCAGGCTGCCCCTGAAAGCCTGGCGTCCACAGCAGCCTTCCTGGTGTGCTGCCATGGAGCTGGATGGGTGAACTGGCAGGAGGCTTGGAGTCCCTCCTGTCTGAACTTCATCAAGAGCAAACTCGTTCCACACGGGCAGTTCAGTTTTGCTGAATCAGCACATTTCAATGGCTATGCTGTTTCGCTGGAACTTGTTGGACCAATTCTAGTTGGGAGCAGTCTGCACTGGAGGATCACTGGTTTAAATGGATTGATACCCAAGGCAGCAGTACTAGCTTGGCCAGGGAGCAATTCCTTATAGGATATAGACACTGCCATGCATACTTCAATACACCAGGCTGAACCACACTGCCTCTTTCCACCCCAGTCATTAGTATTATTTCTTATTTATATTATTGCAGTCCCTAAGAGGCTCAGTCATGGCCCGGGAGGAGCACACTGTGCTATGTCCATCACTCTATCATGTCCCACACTTCTTGGGGAGAGGACAAGTCACTGTCTGGCCTGGCTTAGTCATGTTCTAAGTTGAGGAAACGCTTTCTAAATAAGAACTTGTCCCTTGAATACTCTCTTTGGCCCATTGTTCCCTTTGGCTGCACCCTACACTGCATGCTTATTTTGAAATAAGCTACTCTGGAAGAAATACTCTGAAATCACTTATTTTGAAATAGCACGTCTACACTACAGGGAAGCCTCAAAATTAATCCGAGGTAAGCTTCCCTAAAGTGGACATGCTATCTTGATTTAGAGCCCCAGGAGGCAATGGGGAGAAATTACATGGAATGGCCCTGGGGAGAAGCTATTTAGAAATAGCAGCAGTGGAGCATCCACACTACTGCTATTCCAAAATAGCTATTTTAGAATAGGTGTTATTGCTCATGGAATGAGGTTTACAGAAGTCAGAATAAGCCATCCATTATATCAAATTTATTTTGAAATAATGGAATTGCTGTGTAGACTCCCGCATTGTTATTTCAGAATAATGGCTATTATTCTGAAATAACTCTGCTGTATAGACGTACCCCAACACAGCAGGAAGGGTGCGCTATACACAATGGCTACGTCTACACTGGCCCCATAAAACAGAATAGTCATGCAAAGCAGGTAAGTCAGAATAGGGAAATCCGCGGGGGATTTAAATAAACATGTCCACCGCTTTTTTTCCGGCTTGGGGAAAAGCCGGAAAAAAGCGTCTAGACTGGCGCGATCCTCCGGAATAAAGCCCTTTTCCGGAGGATCTCTTATTCCTACTTGTCATGGAGCTTTCAGTGACATTTGGTACTATGTATCTGGCGATGGGAAAAGACTTTTTAAGCCAATGTTTTGCTCTTCCTGAGTCAAAACCTCTCCCTGGGCAATTAGGTTGTATTTGCATTTATAGTGCATCTGAAAGATAGTTTTGTGCCAGGAATAAAGGACTGGGCACTAAGGGTTTAGTGCCTGGTTTTGCCATAATCTGTGGGATCTATGGCAAATAATTTCCCTCTTTGGGCCTCAGTCTCCTCATATGGGGAACGGGAAGAATAATACATTCCTAATCTACACTGCAGTTGTGAGGCTTAATTCGTCAAAGGTTGCAGAGCGATCCCTGGATGGAGGGGGCTAGAGAAATCACAGTAATGTTACTATAGGTGAGAGGTGCTTGTGAAACAAACAGATGCAGGGTTGGCTTTTGGAGGCAGGGATGGAGGGGAGTTCAATTTCAGTGCAGAGAGGGTGTGTGTCGGAGTTGAGGCAGGACAGGGAAGAGGGTGGTTCAGATGGCTTCCCGGAGAACCCCAACCAAAGTCAACATGTGGATTTCCACCACCACTTGCTGAAGCTTGGAATGCCAGGAATGTACTGCAGGGCATTCAAGATATGCTCTGCAAAGGCAGAGAGAGAAAGGAACCCACTGGAATCACTGAGCTGACTGTGGGCAGCCACATCAGCCTGGGAGACGGGCCCAGTCCCACCCCCCCGCCTCGCAGATGCACAGCAGCCATCAAAAGATGCATTGTGTGTTGAGAGTCTGAGTCCCTGTTGCAGGGGGACAGAGCGCCATTACAAGGCTGGGTAGGACTGGATTCACCCCACAGCCGTGAGAAGGGACGACCTGCCGGCCTAGGACCTGGGTGGGATGGTGGACACATGGGCTGCTGCTTTGGTGCCCCTTTGCAATGGGATCTTTCACTATGGTGCACAGGTATGTTGTCTGTAGGGATATCAGCCCCTGCATTATCGTAACTTAGCTCCCATACAATGCTGGGCTGTGGTGAGTCCTTTAGCCTTATATCTCACAGCTCTGCCAGACTCGCTGGGAAAGGCCCTGCTGTTCAGGTCTGGCTCCGTCAGACTGTGCACAGGGACAGCTGCTGTTATTTCTTTCCTTCCCTTACCACTGGTTTGCCAGTGACTCCTGCTTCTGATGTGCAGTGAGACATTCTGTAGAAACCAGCTGTCTCATCACGGAGAGGAAGGAAGGAATCATTCAGTTAGCTTCTGTGGAGCTTTCTTCCAGATCCCCCTGGGAAACCAACAATTCTCTGCTTACACTTCTGTCTCCTGCCCAATGGCTCCTGGGAGCAATAGCAGGGCTTGCAGATAGTATCATCTGATGATGTTTGCCTTTGAATGCTCATGGCAGGCTCCTTCGTCTTGGTATTGTCAGGCCTGGTCACCCATTCTGACAGAGCTAACGTGTTATAGGGAAGAGTCTTGTGGTGGCATGAAGAGTCCTGCGGTGGCATGAAGACTAGATCTAGAATGGATAGTTTCCCCCCATCTGTAACTTTTCTGACTCCCTGGGTTTGCTCTATCCTGGAAAGAGAGGAGGGCTAGATTCTGATTTCAGGTCATCTGGCATAAATCTGGAGCAAGTCCACTTCTGCAGAGTCCCTGTGAATTTGCACCATGGTAGCTGAGTGATGAACTTGGCCTGTTGGTCCCCTGTACCTGTTGCTGGAGGAGGTGTTCAGCCTGGGGTTGAGATTCACCGAGAAGACCTGCTGTTAGAAGTTACAAAAGATCAGCTCAGCAGAGAGAGGCAAATGAGTCACTATCGGGAATTGCCATGAAACCCAACAACCAGTTTCAGTTCACATCAGAGTGCTCCTAGTTCCCTTTCCCAGGCAGCAGGAACAAAAATAAACACTGAACAAATGAGGGCTGCTGAAGGCAAGCCTGTTGCCCATTCATCATTGCTCCACTGTTGAGACTGCCTGAGACAGACTCATGTCCCCAGTGATGCCCTACCAGGGCTTTTTGGCAAACCCATGATGGCAGCAGAGTGAGTGGATGCAACACTCTGGAAGCTCTGTCATTGTTATTCTTGCTGAGCCACTCCGGGTCCCATGGCCAAGAATACTCTCCTCTGTGTCTGATCTGCTCCATCTGCACCATGTATTCTTCAGGTGAAGAGCCGGATTCCTGTTCTCCCACTCCAGCTGGCCTTCTGGCCTCTTGGTCCAATCTGCAGAACTACACAGCTGCGCCTCCAGAAAAATGTGGAGACCCGGTGGAGACCATGGCATCAGGTACCTGAACCCTGGAAAAGGGGAGCAGCCCACTGGGTCAGCCAGATAGACACTTCAGTGTTGGTGCCAATCAGCCTCCTGCAGGGCTACTGGCCACTTGGGGTTGGAGATAAGGGTCCCCCTGTTATAACAGCAATATGAGCATTAAATATTGGGAGAGGAAATTAAAAATTGATATGGGGGAGGGACTTGTTAAATGAATACTAATCTTTGAGGTAGTGGTTTAGTGGCTAGGGCAATACATAGGAGTCAGGAGACTTACAGTCTATTTCAGGCACTGCCACTGACTCACTTCCTGGCATTGGGAAAATCCCTGCACTCGTGCCTCAGTTTCCCCATATGTAAAATGGGGGAAATTACTCCTTACACTCTTTTGTAAATTGCTTTGATGTCCTTCAGATGTAAAATTAAATATTAACATTTAGTTAAGGGCTTCTGTGTGTAAGCAGAGCTCACTAAAATGAGCAGCCAGAGGCTGTCTTTTCTACTGCTAACTATAAATATGGTTTATAATTCCATGTGCAAATGGCAGTTTATTTTACAACTGGCAAAGCTGACTGAACAAAAAGAACATTAAAGAATAGTTATGGTCAGAAAAGTGACTTACAAAAGCAGCTGCACTGTTCCATTCTCCTATCTCTTGGTGCACGTACATCTTACAAGTCATATCTGCTTACTGCCAAAAGCTGGGTTTTAATCCTGTTATCCCTGCAGAGCCAATACAGCTGTGGAAGAGCAAGCTGGAGTTTAATGCACTTCAGGCGTCATTAATGTAATTGCCAACTAAAGTTCCGATTCCAGAATCTTTATGGCAATGGTTGATGATGTGTGAAGCAGAAAGAATGCAGCTTGATTTTCAGATACTGGCCTGAGCCAGCAATTAAGAAAATCTCATTTTGACTGGTAAAATGATGAGTAAGATGGGTGAGATTCTGTGGCCTCCATTGTGCAGGAGGTCAGACTAGATGATCATAATGGTCCCTTCTGACCTTAAAGTCTATGAGTCTATAAGTAAGAAGTTATGTAAATTACTGAGCCTCCTACACTGAAGAAGAAAGAAGAATTACTACAGGATCTCCCAAGATGTGACTTTTAATTTATGGGGTCTTATTACTGCCTGGATCAGCATGCTATGGGTCTGAAGCAAAAGCAGGAAGAGAAATACACCACAACTCAGTGCTACCCCTGTCCTGGGGCAAAACCAGACAGTCATTAAGGGATATACTGTGGTGATGGCCTTTAGAAAACAACAGTCCCACTAATCTCGCTCTCTTTCATTCGTGAGTCAGGGTGATAGAGAGAGGTAGCTTGATTGTGTACAGTAACTTTGGTTTAAGAACTGGTGGAAGGTAGAATAGATGGTATCTCCTCTATGAAAACTGGCAACCACCTTTCTGTCTCCATGTCCTGTTAGGTAACTCCAGGCTGCTGGATCCAGGAGATCAGTCTGTACAGTTAGCAGAGGGGGCTCTGGAGACCGAATCTGTATCATTGGCTGTAGGGGAGAGATTTCCAACTGGTAAGAGATTGTCTTGTCTGTGGTCACTGTTTCTAATGATAGTATGTAGCAAAGACTAACCATCTGCAAATAGATCTTCCCACCAGTTTCTCCTCTTTAATGTTAGCATCCAGAGAAACTATTTGGGGGTGAGGGCTAGTCTGACCGGTGTTATTTTAGCAAGGTAGCGAACTGAGGGTCAGAGGCATGGATGTAGCATGGGAGAGTAATCTCTGTGCCAGGCAGCTTTAATGCCAGGACACATCAAGGCTTGTCAAATGTCTCCATGTCCCGTGTTATAATAGCCTCCTCCTTCTTTACAGCCTAATCACCCTGATGGGCTGTAGGTAATCCCCATTCGGCCTAATGGAAGTTCATGAAAGTGAAAGATTGAGCAGCAGATGGAGGAAAGCCAGTGCAGGCAGGTGTGCAAGCTTCTCCCACTCAGTTTCACCAAGGAGCCTCCATGTGGGGTCTGCAGCTCTGCAACTGCCCTCTTTCTATTCCACACAGCTAGTCCTGAAGCCTGCCCTCTACAGAGCCAGCCTTCAGTTAGGGTTGCCAGGTATCCGATATTCACCTGGACAGTCCGGTATTTGCCTCCAGCTTCCCTGTGCTTACCGGGTCAGAGCTGTGGGGTTTTAAAAATGGTGCCCAAGATGGCGGCTGTCTTAAAGGGGCAGCCTCCTTTAAACATTTTTTTTTTTTGCTTGACAACTTTGGTCTCCCCCCTCCCCCTTTTTTTTTTCCTCGACAGAATTATTTCCCGGTGTTTTTTTTGCGGGGGGTGTTCGGTATTTTTTGTTAAACCATCTGGCAACCCTACCTGCAGTCAGCCTGTGTAATGCACAGCCACGTGGTGACTTTGTGTGTGGATAAGCCTTCCAAACTGACTTTTCATCTAGTCCAACCCAACTAGACTCGTGTTTGGTCTAATGATGAGGTCAGTACACAACATGGCCAAGTAGAAGTGGTGCTTGGGGTATTTTCTTTTATTTTTTACATACAACAGTGGCTCTTCTTTAATCAGCCATGTTTCATTTTCAAGAGATTGCACTCGTGTTCTCGGTTGAGAGTCGCGCATCTCAGTGTGTCAACTCCCAGCTGCAGGAGGCATCAAGGAAGAAGCTGTGGGCCCTGGAAAATGACAACAAGGATGTCTGCGATCTTTTCAAGGTGAGAGTCCCAGGTGCGTGCACATGAGAGGGAGAGAGGGTGGAAGGGGAACTGCTCCCATGCACCGTGATTCTCACATGGGGTGAGAGGAGAGTGCTGGGCGATAGAGGAAGCCAAAGAATTGTGGGATTTTCAAAGGTGTCTGAGGAAATTGAGGCCCTCTGAAAGTTAGGCTACATAGACAGATGGACCAATAACCACTTTGGAGATAGCAGAGTTCCCTTTCATTTGTGTCAGCTGGGGTTCACAGAAGATATAGAGATGTTGTAAGATTGAATGTAAAAAGATGCTGTGTAGTGCCTGATCTAGGCTTCCGTCTCAGTTCTTTGAGTCCCACTGATAGCTAGTGTGTTGATAGTTCTGTTATGACCCCAGCTGCTGGAAGTTTAGAAGAAGGTAGAGTATAAGTGCTGGTGACAAGGGAAAGTCTCTTTATCTCAAGAGGCAGATCTACGGCCCTCAGAATCAGACAGTTCCTTAGATCAAGTCACTGGAAGGAAAGATTTCTTACACCCCTTGAATCCAACTACATGTTGGTTTGGGAGGTGTCTTTGTCTTGACTAAACACTGCCACACCAAACCTGTAAAACTTTACAAATATCTTCATTTCATAAGCAGAAGTGCACTGGGCATGTGCAAAACAGCTAGTAAAGGATTTTCTGGGAAGAGAGTCAACTCCCTCTCACTCATTCTGCTGCATCAAAGAGCATCAGCGATAATATGGAGGGAAAAACTGATGAGATTCGGTCCTTCCTTTTGGAAGGACCCAACTTGCACAACCATAAGCAGGCAGCAAAGCCCTGCTTATAACCTTGGCCATGAGCTCAGAGTCCAGGAGCTCCAGGTTGGAGCACAACTGAATCCTGGCTCTGTATCCCAGTTCTAGGTCCTTCCATTATTAGCAAACATGAAATGTACCATTGACACCCCTTTTGTCTTCTCTCACGCTACACCTACACAGCTTCCCTCTTCTGCAAGAGCCTTACAAATGAAGTGCAGATTAGCATTTTGCTGTGCTTCATTTGCATAATTAATTAGGAGCCATTTTTGCGCTAGAGACTTTTGCGCAAAACCCCCCTCTTGCGCAAGAGCCATTCTTCTAGAAAAAATGAGGAAGAACGGCTCTTGCGCAAGAGGGGGTTTTTGCGCAAAAACGGCTCCTAATTAATTATGCAAATGAAGCATGGCAATATGCTAATCCACACTTCATTTGCATAGGCTCTTGCGGAAGAGGGAAGCTATGTAGATATAGCGCCAGAGCAGAAGTTTCAGGTGAACACCAGGGGCTTCTCACGTCCTTGTGCTATCTTCTGTCTGTAGGAGCTGTCAGCCAGGCTGGTCTGCATCCAGACCCAGAAGGATCGGTTCCTCCTTACTTTCAAGACTATAGAAGAAATCTGGAAGTTTTCCACATATTTGGCTTTAGGTAAAGCATTCATCACACCAAGTAGGAGGAGGGATGGCCAGTAAGTAGGGATATTGAATAAGTTCCTCAACTGCCCCATGCCACAGAAAGCCTGTGAGTAGGCGTTAGGAAGCCATGCCAGGGATGCAATCGGCTAATGGGGTGGAAAGCTTAATGAATGAGGGATGGTGCAGGAGAAATATGGAACACGTACCCATCTTCAGATTTATGAAGCCACTGTCCAGCTCAGTGCAAAGGAACTGAGTCCATATCTGCTAACTGCTCCATTGCATACAATGGAACAGGGACAAGATCAACACCAAGGAGGCTGTTGCTGCACGGGTTACAGACAGTTGCTGTGATGCATGGCAGAAACAGGACTTTGTCCTTTTGCAGTCTGGGAGTAAATGGAAAAGGAATGTGTTTAGCCTATGTTCTTTCTGTGGTTTATCAGGCTACGTGGCGTGCTGTTTGGAGCATTTTCTCTTCGACCACGGGTACTGGCTGAACTGTTCTCTGGTGGAGGACACTGAGATCCGAGTTACTGTAGATGAAGATCACTTGGCCACCATGTACCTGGGTCTGCTAATTCAGGAAGGTAAGATGCAAGTGCCCATCTGGGGACATGCATTCCAGCAACATTGTAGGTGCAGAACCATTCTGGGTTACAGAGCACATGGGTATGTCAGGAACAACTGCTAATTACTACCCTGCTTCTCTCTGTAGGTAACTTCTTTTCCAGAGCAGTGCTCAATGTGCTTGAGCCCCTGGAGGGGGGTGAGGAAAGCTTGAGGCTCCACAAGAACGAGGTAGTCCATGTGAAGGACATCGGGGAAGAATCCAAATGGGAAGGGATGTCCTTATCGACAGGTCAGCGAGGCCTGGTGGCCGTGGCAGCCGTAGAGCCACTACCCCACCCGTTTTATCAGTAAGTACACTGGCCATCATGTTTCACACAAAGGGCCATGCTGCCCACTCTGTTTGTTCCTGATCATGGCACATTCACAGTCTGCAGTGCCAAGGCAGCACCAAATCCGGGGCATGGGAGTATTCTTATCACTGAGCTAAGGGGTAGCTCTTTGTACCTGGACAGTACTGGTCTGGAATTTTAGCACAAAGGCTTAATTCTGGTTTCACTCTGAGGTGGCTCTTTGACTTTAGTGGACTTATTCTTGATTTATGCTGGTGTAACTGGGAGGAAAAGCACAGCCCAAGGTTTACATAAAGTTGGCTGAAGCTGAAGACTGCCCCAGTGACTGGCTGTTGAGGAATTCATATTAATAGTATGGCCCCTCATGACAGATACCTGGCTAAGCCATCGTGACACGGACATCACTCACAACAACCGTTGTACTTGCTCAATGAAACTCCAATTTCCAATAGCCTGTGAAATTCATCATGCTTTTATGAGGGTGTCATTTTATATGTTACACAAGAGACACTCAGATGACTATACTTGCACTTCTTACGTACTGCCACCCTAGCAATACAGTATGCCCAGGATTAGTGGATTACCAGCAGTGGACATGTGCCATGTAAGCTCCTGATACCTAAGGACCCAGCTGAGCTACTTTTTGACAATGTGGCTGGTGGCCTCAGAACACAAATATTTATCGAGGGAACAATTCTCAGAGAGAACTGATGTGTTTACCCAGGACTTTCTCCTCTTTAGGTGGTTTCTGAAGAATAATCCAATGAGCTGCGGTGTCTCCCAGGAGATCAACGGGTCAACCTCTCAGCCAATTGGTGTGTGCACCTTTGTAATATTTTCAACATGAGGCCACTTGGTTCTTACAAAGCTGGGTTCAGCTATGGAAAAGTCTACCCTGCAGATGCACAAGGAACATCTCTCTTGCTCCAGGAGTGACGCTTGAGTTACAGGAAGCAAAGGAGGAAAGAAAAGTAGCATCTTCACATTCTCCAGCAATCTGCATGGGGGCTTGAGACAACATGTGCTTTGAAAGACTGACCTTAACAACTTGGGGAAGAAAGAGCTGCCATGTTGACACTCTGCAGCATCTTCTTATATTCTTTTCTCCCCTTTCCATCTTACCTTTATTCTCTCTTTTCTCTAATGCCTCTGTCTCCTTTGGGCCTGAATTTTAAACAATTAGGCACACAGACATGCACATGCCATAGCACATCGAACTTGTGCCTGCAATCCCTGTAACACCTGGGTGAGTGCATTTGCACATAGTCAGTTCTGGGCATTTGCCTCCTCTTGGATTTGGTATCTGCATGTGCAAATTAGGCACATAACTGGGTGCAAGTACATGTCTACGTGCAAGTCAGATCATGAAATGTTCATAGACATTACCGGCAAACTCTAAGTGATGTTCTACCCAGAGTCACTTCTGCAGTGAGCAGTATGATGCAGAGAACTATGCATTTAATTTCCCCCACCAATATTCGTTATCAGGACTATTTGCAGGGTTTTTTGTCTTTGTCCATCAAGCATGTGATCTGCTTGTGTTTCTTATTCTACCCTCCCATTAATATCACAAGCATCTTCACAGAAACCACAGAGGAGCAGATCAATCAGGGAGACTGGTATCCTGTTTCCAACATGGTTTCTTATTGCCCATCCTACTTCCAGCTAGGGGAGGTTCAAATATGATTCGCAGTTGGGCCAACCAATTGAAATCAGGTTGTTTCTCTGTGTTTCTCAGGCAAGGGGAGGTGCACAGCCACTGAAGATCACAGAGGGAAAGGATGGGATGAACTGAGTTTCTCCAAGGGAGACAGCATAGAGATTGTTGGTTTTCTTATACCAGGACTGCAGTGGTTTGTGGGGAAATCCACAAGCAGTGGGACCATTGGCTTTGTCCAGAGCAAACACATAGCAGCAGAGACTCGTGAACCTTTGTAAGTAAGTTGCTATTTTCCAGACAAACTCCTGGGGAGGGAGGGAGTAAGGGAGGGAAGGACTGACTAAGATCCATTCCAGGTATGTGCAGAAATCCCGATTTCCTGGCAAGAGTTATGTCTAGATTCCACCCCAGGTGTGCTGAGAAACCAGATATTCCCTACGAACAATAAACAGACTGAAGGAATCAGATCTTCTCACAGTCTTGGATTTCACTTTGACCCCCAAGCTCCTGGTCCCATTTGAAGTGAAAGAGGCTGCAAGTGAATGTTCCCCACATTCAGGTCTGCCCTGGGTGAAGTGAGGCGAGAGACCCCATAGCTCTATTTGGCAGCATTATTTTGGAATAACTGATGTTATTCCAAAATAACAAAGAGTGTATCTACACTGCCAGCATTTATTTCAAAATAATGGAGAGCTGGAGGACTTACTCCAACTCCTGTAACCCTCGTTTTATTCCTTTGACTTCCTGCTGTGTAGACAATGCCAAAAACCAATTTAAGCTATTTCTATTAAACCAAGCAATTGATACAGCTCAAGTTGTGTCACTGAATTTGATTTCAGCCCTGCTGTGTAGACGTACCCTTTGAGAGGGTCCCAAACTGAGTGATGTTGCAACATGGTGCACAGGGTCTCAGCGCTGCCCAACGCCCCTTCTACTTACAAAGAGGCAAACAGGCCACACCTGGGTGGTGCTGCATCCCACTTTAGCCACTTGAAATGTAGCAAGGTTTGTTAGCTGTCACATTCCCTTTGTCTCAGGAAGTTCTCAGCCTGATGTTTGTGCCTGCTAACAACAGTATTATTCTGGTCTACAGTTTGTTTTATAGTTTGTTACACTCGTGCTGCTGCTCCTCCCCTTATCTGTGTCACACAACAATTGGCTCCTCTCCACCCTTTTAATATCAGTTGTAAATGTTTATTGGCCGCATAGCTTTGTCAGAGGCTGCAAGTTCCTCTTAAGGTGATGCACAATGTGCCCCGAAGGAGGCAGAAGAGAGCATTCAAAAGAGTTATTTTCTCCAGCCTCCTTCCTGTGTCAACCATCAGGTCAATGCACCCACTTTGACACAGCTCTATACTGAGTGACATTAAACACCTGCTTCTACACCATCAAAAGGAAAAGGCAAGAGCCACCAGATGAGGCAGGCAGCAACCCCCACACTCCGTACAAGCCTTGGCACTTTGGCAGTGGCCTCTGTTGGCTAATGGAGGACATAAGCCCCAACTAAGGGGGGGGGGGGGTCGTGCAGATTCACAGAATTAGTGTTTGGGTCTGTTTATCACAGGTTTTCCAATGTCTCAAGCAGCCATTTCTGAGGCTAGAATAACTCAAGATCTTGTCTCCTTGGGGCTTTTATTGCCTAGGTGGTGGAAATAGCTGGACTCCTGCATCCAGCCAGGGCAGAGCTGGTGGTGCAGGGAGGTGGGAGCCCTGTCTCAGCCTGGAGGCAGAGCTGTGGTAGGGATGGGGAGATTAGGTCCGGGTGACATGGGAGAGCTGTGCTGGCTGATTCTCCCGGGTTTGTGCCCCAAACACAGGGGAAAGTGTTCAGTGTTTCTCAGTGAAGATGAGAAATCCTCCCTTCTCCTCCCATGCAACAGCAGCGAGCAGCACTACACCAGCCTCCTTGGGGACCTGGCCCGCACAGACATCACCTCTGTGTACAGACTTGGTGAGTGCCCCGAGCTGCTCGGCTCTCACATTCACAGCTCCTTGGCCTTGCATCCCTTCTCTTCTCACATGGCTGACTCTAGCACAGTCCCGTCCTTTCGCCCACATTCAGACCTTCAGGGGGAATGAGCTGCTAAGAGGGTTCATGTCTCACACTGGTCCTAAGATTATAGGGAGATCTCCATATAGACCTGCCTCAGGACCCAGAGATCAGGCAGGGTCATCCTAATGCTAAGCTCTAATTCACCAGTAGAGGGTGCTGCACTTAACTGGTCCTGGCCTAGAATAACCTGCCTGTAGGTGCTAATGCTTCACCCAATCCCCAGCCCATAGGAAATGCCTTCTCATGGGCTGTGTCTAAACTACATGGCTCCGTCGACGGAGCCATGTAGTTTAGACACAGCCCATGAGAAGGCATTTCCTATGGGCTGGGGATTGGGTGAAGCATTAGCACCTACAGGCAGGTTATTCTAGGCCAGGACCAGTTAAGTGCAGCACCCTCTACTGGTGAATTAGAGCTTAGCATTAGGATGACCCTGCCTGATCTCTGGGTCCTGAGGCAGGTCTATATGGAGATCTCCCTATAATCTTAGGACCAGTGTGAGACATGAACCCTCTTAGCAGCTCATTCCCCCTGAAGGTCTGAATGTGGGCGAAAGGACGGGACTGTGCTAGAGTCAGCCATGTGAGAAGAGAAGGGATGCAAGGCCAAGGAGCTGTGAATGTGAGAGCCGAGCAGCTCGGGGCAGCTGTGAGGCAGCCCCACTGAGCTCTTGGCAGAGGCAGGGCCCTCCGGGGGGGGGGGTGGGCGGGAGAGGGGATTGGATGAATTAGCGAAGCCTTTTCAAAAGGACTAACTGTTGGGAGGCAAAAAGAATTCAAAGGTTTTCCTTGTCAAGTGGGAGACATGATGCTCATTTCTGGATTCATGCTGGGATTCTGGGATGGATAAATGGTTCAAGTGAAAAGGAGTGATGTTTGCTTGTTAGAGCAAACCAAAAAGTACAATAATGCTCCCCACTTACAATTTGTTTCCTGGAGTGCCTCATTGTCAGTGAGAGATGGTGTTGATAAAATCCTGAGTCACAAAAGACGACACCCTCTTGTTTCCTGTGTGGGTACCAATACCCAATAAAACCCCCTGTCCCACAGTTGGGAACTATTTTCCCATGTTCTCGCATTGATCTCAGTCCTTCAGGATGGGGGCAGGGAATTGAAATTCTAGCTGAACTCAAAATCCACTCCATTATGTCAGATCACCATTGTTTAGCCAAGTTTCAGCATCCTGGAGAAGGGCACCAGAACTCTTCTAGGATTTGTTTTGCAGTTACAGTACTTGCTAGCACTGACCACATTTTATTTCTGTTGGCTGTGTAGCTGGTTTCGAACCTACAGCCATGTTCCCAGGAGGGCCCTCTGGTGAGTACATGTGAATGAGATGTCCTCTGTGCCTCTGGATTTGGAGGAGGAATCTCCATGTGGGGAAACATTTCTCTGTGGTCTATCCATCCCTTTCAGAGGCTGCTCTTCAAGGGTGTAAGGATATCCAGCTGCTCAGGACGTGGGAGGAAGGTGCTGCAAATGGCCTGTCCACCCCTAGTGACTCAGAGCAGTCTAGTCCAGAGGGCGAAACACCCCTCACTGCCCTGGAAGAATTTCTTCGGCAGGAGTCAGATGACCTTGATGACCCCAAGTTCTTTATTGACCTGAATGCTGGCAACATGGAAGATGCTAGAGTCTTTGATCCCATACTGACCTTCCTTAACCAAGGGTGCTATGTGGCCCATTTCCAAAGCCTCTATGACCTCTCATTTTCCTTCCTCCAGTCCACTTTCTACAGCTTCCCCGATGAAGACAAACTGGTCTTGTTCCTTGAGACTTCCAGAAACTGGGCCAAGAGGACTCACTTATGCTGGGCTCACATCAGGCTCTGTTTCCTGCTGGGTAGACTGTGCATCAGAAGGGTCAAGTTCTCGCAGGCCCGTGTCTATTTGGAAGAAGCCATGAGCATCATGGACAAGGGGTTTGATGACCTGCCCCTCCTGGTTGCACTGCATGTGAACCTTGCTGCCATCTACCTGAAACAGAAGATGAGGCACAAGTTCTCCTCCATGCTGGGGAAAGCTGTGGCCCTGCTAGTCTGCTTGCCTGGACACTGCTTCAGCTCTGAGAATGAGATGGAGCTCGTGAAGTACCTCCTGAGGGAAGCCATCGCCGTGGGCAATGCTCCCTTGGAGGCCCGGGCCTGCTTTCTTGTTGTCAAGCTCTTCCTGCAATTGGGCAAGCATGATGAGGTCCTGCCCTTTGTGGAGCACCTTCAGTTCCTCGCTACCTGCTTCTCCAGCCAGGACTCGAGTGCCACATCCTTGGACACCACTCCAATCCTGAGCTATCTCTATGATAAGAAGTACTTGCCACACATGGCGTTGGCTTCCATCAGGATATCTGCTCTCAGTGACATAAAGGGGACACCATCGCCGATATGGAGAGCTGGTTTAGTCCTCCAAAATACCTCCAAGCTCCTGGGAAGCCAGCTGAGTAGGAGCAGCATCCCAGCTATCGCTTGCCTGTACCTCCGGCATGCATTGGTCTTCTCCCATGAGAGTGGAGCGGTGCCCATCCAGAGGGCATTGTGTGCTGTCCTGTCCAAAATGTACCTCCAGCATGGCAAGTTAGATGGAGCACTTTATTACTCGGCCAGAGCCGTAGCCCTTGGCAGGCTGATGAGTGAGGAGGAGGCCTTCGAATCTTCCCTCTCCTTGGGGTGGATGTATGTTCTGGCTAGCCAGCCAGCTAAGGCTAAGGAGATCATGTTGCAGCTCCTGCATTCTCTGCGTGAGACAGACAGTGTTACTCAAGATGGGGCAGTTCACAACCTCCTGGCTATTGCCCTCAAAGAAGAAGGACAGGTGAAGGAGGCAGCAGAGAATTACCTATGGGCCCTAAACAAAGCCAAGGAGACAGGCAACAGGCGGAACCAAGCTATTGCCCTGGCCAACTTTGGGCACCTGACTCTTTCATGCAGAGCAACCCAGCTGGCAGAGAGCTATTTCCTCCAGTCTGTTCAACTCTACATTGAACTCCAGGGTGTTGAAGACTCCGAAATAGAGCTGGCGCAGGTCCTGCTGTGCCTGGCGCAGGTCATGGTGAACAGACACAGGATAAAAGACAGCAAACTCTGTTATGAGCTGGCACTGGTGTTTGCCATAAAGACACACAATGTGAAGAGTGAGTATATTAATTAAGGTTTTGTAGGGGGAGGAGGATATACAGGGAAGATATTTGCCCCTCTGCTGCATCTTATTAGATCTCTAATGTGTCCTATTTAATCATGCCATCTTCCACATACCATACAGGTCAGCTTCATATCACTCAGTCCCTCTGCCATTTCTACAGCAAAGTATCCCCAAATCCTGGGGCCTGCATTACCTACCATGAGCACTGGGTATCCCTGGCACAGCAGCTGCAGGACAGGGAGATGGAAGGGAAAGTCCTGCAGATCCTCAGCCAGCTCTACCAGATGCTAGACAAACCTACGTAAGTCATTCCCAAGATCAGACCCATTGCAGAGGATGCTAGCTGGGAGTCTCTGCTTATAACCTTTCAGATCTACAGGGCATGGTCTCCAGTGGGCCTTGAAGAAGGAGAGGTTATATGTGTCATGGCACTTAGTGTGGCTCAAATTCTATCAGCAGAAGTTACTAAAAAGGCAACATTTGCCAGCCTTTACTAAGCCATTTCTGCTGGTATTTCATGTTGTAAATAATGGGGGAAATGGTTTAATTACAGATACAACTTGGCAAATGTTGAAACTTTAATAGTGACCAGTGTTCCTTGTAAGCTAGTGATGGGCAACCAGTGGGCTATTTGTGGCCTATCAGGGTTCTCTGGCTGGCCCACAAGACATTTTGTTTTTTGTTGTTAATGTGCAGAGTTGCCAGATTCCATTGGTTACTGTCCGCATAGTTTTCTTCCTACAAGTATTACTTAAGTAACACACATGTAAAGCAAGGGCATGTGAAGTGCAGTCTGTGCTGATAACATTGACGTGTGCTCCCTCAGTCAGCACTCCTGCAAATTCTAAGTATGCAAGCGCAGTTAGCAAAACTACCCTATCCTGAGAAACCATCTTCATTATGACAATCTTGTGGCCCTCTGAGATGATAGAGGGACATTCATGCGGTCCGCTCACTAGCTTAGGCTGCCCATCACTGCTGTAAGCTGCATGCTTAGACAGACACCCAGGAGAGATTCAAATGCTGTCCAGCTGATTAGCAGAGTGCCCACCGCCGCCCATAGCCAGCAGCATATGTAGAGCACATCTGCACGTGCCTTGGTGCACATAACAACATTGATTCCACACATAGATGGAAAAAATATTGAAGGAACATTGACAGTGACCACTGTGTGATAGGATTTAAAACAGGGGCGGGGAACTGTTTTTGGATTGGGGGCCGCTGACCCACAGAAAAATCAGTCAGATAGGGGGAGGGTTGCACACAAGTGAGAAACAAAAACTACAACAAAAACCCCACCCCATTCTGATGTGCCCCCTGACTGACAAGGAGAAATACATTCTCCACATTTCCTTAGTGCAGTGTTTCTCAACCAGTGGCATGAGTACCCTTAGGGGTACTCGAGAGAAGCCTGGGGGGTACTTCAACAGAACTAGGGTTGCCAGGTGTCAGGTATTCTACCAGACAGTCTGGTTTTTGCGCCCTCTGTCCGGTAAAAAAAATTCAGAAAATACCGGAAATGTGCAATGTCTAGTATTTTCTGTTTTTCCGGTTGGGCGCTGGACGGAAGCCTGGAGGGGACGGGGGAAGACAGTCTGGTATTTGCACCCTCTGTCAGGCAGAAAAATTCAGAAAATACCGGACATGTGCAATATATGGTATTTTCTGAATTTCCAGCTGGGCGCCGGATGGAAGCCTGGCAGGGGTGGCGTCCAGGCTGGGAGGCGGGGCCGCAATTGGCACCTGAGCTGCTCGAAGCAGCCGTCATTTGAAATTGACACATTTCTCAGCCTTGTTTTTGTTAAACTAGGATCACCTAACTGCATTCCTTGGCCTAGAGCCTCTGCCTCACTCAGACTGTGCCTCCTTGAACTTACTGTGTTCTGTGCTGAGCCTGGTCCACTTTAGGGTAGCATAGAAATTGCTCTAAAGCAGAGGTTCTCAGATTAGGGGAAGGGGCGAGGTTATTGCCCGAGGATCACGGAGAGCCATTGTCAGGCACAGGGCTGACAGTCCCAGTTGAATAAATTCAAATTACAATTTAAACCGACTCACCCTCCCCCCCCATTTTTAATTTAGAAAGCGGGGGGAGGGGGTGTTGCATTCAGAGGCTTGCTGTGTGAAAGGAGTCACCAATACAAAACATTTAAGAATCACTGCTCTAAGGTCAGCCAGAAGGTTGTAGCCCCTAAGTGCCATCCGCTAGCCAGGAAGTGTGGGAATGCAGCACGCCCCCCACAACATGTCCCTTCTGTTAAGTGGTACAGGGGGAGGGGATGACATACAATTGGATCAAAAGGACTGTACTAATGTTCCCTCTAATCTTTTTCATGTGCCGATTTTTTTTCTATCCATATGCAGAATAAATGTTTATGTGTACGGAGGCATGTGCAAATGTGTATTACTAGTAGCAACACAAAACCTGCCTGTGTTTATAGTAATAGAAATGTAGCCGTGTTAGTCTGGTGTAGCCGAAACAAAAAACAGGACTATGTAGCACTTTAAAGACTAACAAGATGGTTTATTAGATGATGAGCTTTCATGGGCCAGACCCACTTCCTCAGATCAAATAGTGGAAGAAAATTGTCACAACCATATATACCAAAGGATACCCGAAACAAAAAACAGGACTATGTAGCACTTTAAAGACTAACAAGATGGTTTATTAGATGATGAGCTTTCATGGGCCAGACCCACTTCCTCAGATCAAATAGTGGAAGAAAATTGTCACAACCATATAAAGCTCATCACCTAATAAACCATCTTGTTAGTCTTTAAAGTGCTACATAGTCCTGTTTTTTGCCTGTTTTTAGGCACTCTGCTAATCAGCTGGGCAGGATTTGAATCTCTCCTGAGCAGTTGCATAAGCGCCCAGCTTATAGGGGACACTGGACTGTACCATGATGGGGGAATCCTCACATAGTGAGATATGACTGTAGGTTGTATCACTGGAATGGTACAAGATGTACAGATCATAACCCAGGACCTCATCCCTTTCCTAGCATTTATTATAAATCTAATGGCTTTCTACCAAACAGCTGTTCCAGGTAAACATCAGTATGGAACGCCACCACTTTATACAGTTTTGACATTCCTGTTCTCTCAGTATTGGACACAAGCGGTTTGGTTTGTGACAGCAGCACTGGCTGCATGCTCCCACTGTACATTTTGGAAAGTAAGGGAATTAGGCTTGAAGAAACCACTGAACATAAATACCATTTGCAAATGCTCACGTGGCTTTTGGGCCATATTCAAGCGTTGACCCTGTGTCTGTCCAATCTATTTAGATTGTAAATTCTTGGATGCAGAGACTGTCTCCTATTCTGTGTTTGTACAGCATTGGGGCTCTGGTCTAAATTGGCATCTAGGCTCAATAATAATAAATAATAGCAGGAGTTCAACAGGCTAAACGGGCGGAAGCAAATGCTTTGCATCAGAATGGGGAACCCCATAGATAGAGGAAGACCATTTGGAGATTTTGTTCTCTAGCTTAGATGCTGATTTTCCTAAGCCAGCAGAAACATGTCAGTTGGGTATTCACTTGTCTTGAGTAGATGTCAAATAGTCTGGATGATTAATATTCCCACTCTGAATTGATTGGGTCTCCTGTTGAAACAGGTCAGTAGAAGGGGAGCCCTCAGAAAGCAGCCTGCATGTCCAGCCAATTGACTGTATTTCCACACACACATCTGTAAGACCAAAACCCACAGAAGGGATGTGGGGAGGAGAAAAAATAACATCCTGTGTAAACTGATATGTGAGGAGTTTCTGCTCCTCTCTGGGTTATTCGCACATGGGGTTGAGTACGTCCATCATGTGCACAATCTTTTAGTGAAGTTAATAAAGCAGTTTAGGCTCCACAAAATGAAGGATGCTGGAAAAGTTATCAGGTCACTGTAACTTCTATAGGTTATTAGATTGGCAATAAAGGAGATGGAATAATGCCTTGTGAGAGGCATCAGTTTACTGTGAAAAACAGGCATCTTCAAATGACTCATTTTTGTAATTTGACAGCTTGCTGGACTAAAACCCTCATTTCCTACGGGCAGAAATATTGCTCGAGAAGTGACTGTAGCTGAGAAAAGTGATTGGTATTTTTCCTTACGAGCTATTTCAGTTGTTTGCACAGAAAGGGGAGGCATTAGGGATTAGATCTCTCTTTGAGTGAAGAAAGATTGACGGTGCCAAAACGTGGCTTTACTTGGCTAACCCCCCCCCAACAACACTAAACTCCTCCTCCCACATGTTATTACACTGGCCTTTGAAATCTTCTGTTCATACACTGTAGGTACCAGGATTATCCTCAAGACAGAAGTGATCTGATAAGGGAACATTTCTTTTGCCCACCCCATTTTGATTGTCATTTTTCTAAAAGGGCGACAACAAGCCAGAGCTTGAAGGAAGCTAGAATACTAGCCTTGCATTTCTCTAGACACCCTGTCACTTTTCACAGATTGAAATCTGTCACTTAAAATGAATTGATTCTAGCCCTTTTGGTTGTTAAGGGGAAAGAATGAGCCCATTTGGTGTCCCAGGAGGAGAAAACATATTCACCAAGATCCTGACAAGCGACTGAGAGACTCTCAGTTCAGCTCAGGGGTGTGCATGCAAAGGTGGCTTTACAACCATCCTAGTTGGCTGCCAGTGTCTCAAAAGGATGTGAGTTGTAAGGGTGCTCCTATGGTGGCTCTGTGCAGGATGAATCCAGTCCTCTGTGACCAGAGTCAATATACTTAGGGCAGCTTCATTCAAATAGAGCAGCACAGAGAAACCCAAATACACTGGCAAAGCAGGCCTTAGACAGCTCGCAGTGGGAGCCCTCAGCTGATTGCGTTTGAGAAGGAGTGATGCCTTGGGGAAGAGGAGAAGCCCTGTCCCTACTCCTGAGCGCTGTTCAAGCACATTGTGACGCCGTAGTCCAGGAGAGAAGCCCACAGGTGCTTTGTCGTTGCGTTTAGGTGCCTTCCATGGGCTCTCAGCCAAACTGACTCGGGTGGAATTTCTGCTTCTTCCCACTGGGACACCCAAAGACCTGGCTAGGAGAGAGTTACCTTCCTACCCATGGTTGCTCCCCCTTCCCCCGCCATTATGTTGCCCCGGCATCTGCGTCTCTCTGCTTTGGGTAGCAGGCGGCTGCTTTGCAGAGCAGGCTCTGCTGCCTCCCCATTGGTTCCCAGCTTGGTGGCTCTTGGTAGTAGCCACACAGGATGTGTGTTTGGGGTGGGTGGGTTTTTTTTTTTTGCTTGACAAAGTTTTAGCCCATGTATTTGGCAAGCCTAAACACAACTGAAATTTGGAGAAAACTGAATTTTTGTTTCAAGTTTTACAGCGCTTTATTATTTTTGTACTTTTTAAACCCCAAAATTCTATCGCATGCCTGGCCACGATTAAGTTGTTTAAACACATGTGTTGCAATAGTAGAAAAAAAATTGTGTGTGTCTGAAAACTGCAAGTACTAGGGGTACTTCTAATTTTATTTTTCTTAAAAGAGGCTACTTATATATTTTTTTAATAAAAAGGGTATTTTATAGAAAAAAGGTTGAGAAACACCGCCTTAGAGCACCAGAGCCCTGTGCGTGTGTTGGGGGGCTGGGGCTGATCCAGGCAAACCGGGTGCCACATCTGGCTTGCCTGGCCCTTAGGTTCCCCACCCCTGATTTGAAACAACAGGAATCCTGTGAACCAACAGGCAGAGCCACCAAACTGTGTGGTACACGTGCATGCTGCTGCCCCCTTCTGGACAAGATGTGACACACTGAAGTGCATGTCAGTTTGCCTGCTAGAGGCTTGGAAAGAGAAGCTAGGCTCCCTTGCTAGTGGAGGTTCCTCTTTTGCTGGAGTGAATGAGAAAGAAAGAGATGTGTTGGGGAGGCCAAATGTTGCTGACTGCAGGCAAGAGCTCTTGGCTTCTGTAGTTGACCTGTGCCATTGCACGCAACAGCAATGTGCTCCACACAGGAGTAACCGTTGTGGGGAGCGTGAAGGAGCTGAAAGGAAGATGGTCCTTGTGCGGCTGTGACAGGGGGAAGGAGTGCAGGATGTTTTGCCGAGTTACAGCTCTACAATTTATCTGTAATTGCTGACCCCTTGTTAACCCTTCAGGTCTCTGAGACGGTCTTTGGACTGCACCAAACAGAGCTTAAGAATCTTCATTGACCTGGGGGAGGCAGCCAAAGCAGCTCATGCCTGGCTGCAGGCTGGGAAGCTGTATTATCTCATGCAAGAGGACGAGCTGGTGGAAATGTACTTCCAGGTAAGGGGGAGGTGGCTGGAAGAGTCTGCCAGGGCAGTTGTTTGCTGCTAATCTGTAAGGGTAGCTACCAATCAGCCAGCCTCTTGTTTGCCAGGAGAGTCTTTGGAAAGACGATCACAACTAGGCAGAGGATCCCCTCACTGTTAACTGGCAAACCATCAGCTGAAGAAGTGGCCACACTGCTATGTGTGGAATTGCACAGGCACAGTTGTCACATGCACAGCCTCCCTTTCCCGTCACTGGGGTTTAGAGACAACCTGCTTGAAAGGCATTGAATTCGTCAGGTGAGACCAGAACTGGGATTTTTCAGACTAGTTGTCAGGGGTTAGGTGCCAAATCCTCTTGAAATCCATGGAGACTAAAGAGCAGCGTTCAAAGGGAAGTGATGAACGTCCCATTGCTTAGGATCAAGACCAGGCAAGGCAAAGCATTAGATCATGTAGAATAGGGAAATAACCCGATTTTGCCAGCTAGGTGGACTGCATCCAGGGGTCGGCAAACTTTCTGAAGTGGCGTGCCAAGATTTAACCCTCCTGCCCTGGACTGCACTGCTCTAGGCTCTCTCCACCGTGTGCCCTGCTCGGTCTCCTGATCTGGCCTCCGCTCCGGCTTTTCCTGTGGGGAGGAGAGGAGCAGCACGCATGCGCTTCCCTGGAAGTTGGATGTGGTACGGAGCCTTGGGGCTTCCCCCGCTCCCTGCAGGAAGCCGGCGCCGGCTCCAATCTTGTAGGAGCTGGATTGCCAGCATGGGCTGGGGTCAGGGTGGCTGTGGGCGGGATTCAGGGAAATGGGTGTAGCAGGGGTGGGTGACCCCAGGGTGTCCAGCCCTGATGGAGGCAGGGTCCATGGTGCCCTCGCCTTCCTGCCAGGACCCAAGGCACCCAGGGGCCAATGCAGCTTTGGGGCAGGGGGATCCCCCACGGGTTTTCCTCTCTCCTCAGCCATCCCTGCTCAGCCTCAGGGCCGCAGCTGGGGTAGCACTCCCCCTCACTTGCACCCCAGCACTCACTTGCATCCCAGAGTGAGCGACCCTCCTCCCTGCAGCTGCTGCACCCCATCCCGGCTCCAGACTGCCCCTGGGAGCTGGCTTAGGGATGCCCATTCCCCCCCGTGGCCTAGCTGCCCCCAGAGCAGCCCCAGCCTCCAGAGCAGCCCCGCTCTGCCACGTGGCCCAGCTGTCTCCGGAGCACCCCTGGCCCATGAAGCAGCCGCAGCCCTGCTGGTCGGGCCACGTGGCTGCTGTGGAGCAGGAACCGTGACTGTGGTGAGGCTGCCACAGCAGGGACAGCCTCACCGCAGCCCGGCTCCAGCAGCAGCACACAGGGCGGCTGCAGGCCATGCAGCCCCACTAGCCGGGATGTGTGCCACTCAAAATCAGCCTGCGTGCCACCTACGGCATATGTTCCGTACGTTGTTAACCCCTCATGTAGTAGGTTCTAGCCATGTGTAACTTCTACGGCTGCGTCTACACTGGCGCATTCTCACGCAAAAACTCTTTCAGAAGAGAGCGTCTACACTGGCATGTGCTTTTACGCTAGAGCATCCGTACCAGTGTAGACGCTCTCTTGTGCAAGAAAGCTCTGATGGCCATTTCAACCATAGGGCTTTCTTGCGCAAGAAATTCATGTTGCCTGTCTACACTGGCCTCTTCTGGAAGAGCTCTTGCGCAAGAGGGCTTATTCCTGAGCAGGAGCGTCAGAGTTCATACATTAGAATGTCAGCTTACTTGTGCAAGAACATGTGGCCAGTGTAGACAGGCAGCAAGTTTTTGTGCAAGAGCGGCCACTTTTGCACAAGATCGCACCAGTGTAGACACAGCCTATGATTCTAGCATTTGAACAGTGAAGGGGAAAACATCCCTAGATCTCTGTGGAAACATTAATTACAGGAAGCATTCTCCTTTAAAGAGACCCATCAGCCTCAGACTAATCAGCACAGAAGATTAGTCTGGGTTGCTAATGACATGATCTGCTGCTAGGTTGAGCAGTAAAGCAGCACTTGGATGTAGGTAGATTGGCTGTTCTGTCCCTAATTTTACAGCATCAAAACCCCTTTAAACTGGTGGGACTAGCTGGGACAGGGATACAGTGCTAGTAAGAGAGGAGAGAAGCATTCACCTTTACGTCACCTGCATGAATCTACTCCTAGACAGTAGTGGCTGGAAGTTGTCAGTATCAGATGGCTGCTCAGTGACCCATGTGTAATGAATGGGTAGCCTCAGCCTACTTTCTGATGGTCAGGTGTTCACAGCAAGCAAATCAATGGCACCATCATCAGTGGCAGTAATTAATGCTGTGGCTGATGGGTTCAGCTGGGAGGCCATGGATTTAATGAGCAGTGGAGAGTGACCTCTCATTAAGAAAGGGACGTATAGGCTGAATATCAGGCAGCAGCTCCCAACTGTGCAGGTCTACCAGTCTGAGGGAAGATTATTTATGATGCTAAACATACAATAAGGAACAATCCTGCACTGGCTGGGAGATGGCCAGGACCTTATAGCCAAATTCATCAATGAGGCAATTGGGTGTTGCCCACTGACATCAGTGTAGCTCCACGCGTTCTCTCCAACAATAAATTTGGCTCAGCTGGTCTTTCCCCTTTTGATTTTGAGTCCCCCATCATCCTCTGAGTAGGGATGTGAAGGACTGGTCGACTATCTGATAAGCAAATGCTTAAGAGATAGGCAAGAGGCAGCAAGGGGGGGAGTGGAGGGAGGTAGTTCAAAGCAGCAGCACCGTTTGAAGTCTGGGGCCAGACCCCAGGCTCCATGCAGCGTGCTGCCACTTTGAAATGCTGCATGCAGCCCGGGATCAGCTGGGGGCTCCCCTGCTGACCCTGGGCTCTGTGCAGTGCTGCTGCTTTGAAACGCTGTGGGGAGCCTGATGTCAGGGTCCTTGCGGCATTTCGACAGCGCCCACATGGAGCCTGGAATCAGCTAGGGACTCCCCAGCTGACCCTGGGCTCCACGTGGAGCTTTCACCTTTGAAGTGTGTAGCAAGAGCCCTAGGGGTGTTGCTACACTTCAAAGGTGGAGGCGCCCTATTGACTAATCGAATAGTCGATGCAAAATGCATTCGATTTGTCAATATTTAGCATCCTTACGTCTGAGGTAAGGGAGTCCTGACATGCCCAGCGGCAGGGTGGGGGGAAAGCTTGCACAGTTCCGCTTCCTACAAATACTGTTCTCATGTCTTTTGCTTCCCAGGATGTCAGCCTGGCACATCACACCTGCATGAAATTCATGTTCCAGCCTGAACATCAAACTGCACTCTTGTAACTTACAAATGCAATTACCCCAACTGTGCATGCATATGTATGCGTATGTTCTGTGTATCTAAATGCAAACAACCAGTTGGCCTCCCGATCGCTCCCTTCCATGCATAACTACTGCAACTGAGAATACAGACGATGGAGACATTTAGCTCGGTAGGCTTGGGCCTATGTCTCTCGTTAAAGTAAAAACCACCCAGAGAGTCTATGGTGCTGCCTCTCCCAAGCTCTCACCCTGAGTCCTTCTCCTTCTAGGCAGCCATACAGACTGCACTGAAACCAAGGGACTTCTCCTTAGCCATGGACCTGTATGAAGAAGCTGGGGATATCTTTTTCAATGGCAACCGAAACAGGCACCAAGCAGTGGAGTATTACCGGGTATCTACCCAGCAGAGCATTGGCATTGGGGCAAACGGCCACAGGGAGAGCTCCAGCAGAGCGGCATGTTTCGGGGAGTCATTCAGAAAAGGCAATAGAGGAGCTGAAAGGCAAGAGGCGGGATGTGTCAGAGCATGAGACAGCAAGGAGGAGCATGGCACTCTGTGGAGCATGGCCAGAGGTGCAACACATCAGGCAACCTGGCTCTGAAGCCCAGACACACCCACTAAAAGTTGCTGCCCCAGTAAGAGCTCAGTTGTGAGAGGGGAGAGGATACCCCAGGGAGCCTGAGCTGGTGCTTTTCTGTCAGCTCCCAGGATAGACTGAGCACCCACAGAATGATGCTGTAAGCAGGAGAATTGAGTTCTGAGTCTGGCAGGCTACAGGCTGGGGGAAAGTGCTTGGGCTGTAGGGATGCTTCATGGCAGGGTGAATAGCCACAGGGGAACGTGCCAGTGAGGGCTGAAGCTATCTGTGGTACTTACACAGCTCCTCATACTAGCATCTGCAAGGGTTTTCTCCAAAGAGGTAGGGAGGTGGTTTTAATTCCCATTCATAAAGGCTGGGACCAAGAGAGACTAAGTCACTTGCCCAGCTCACACAGGGACGCGTGGCAAAGCAGGGAAGTGAACCTGGCTTTCTGTCATCCCCAGCTCATGCCTTGGCCCGTTCACTGTTCTTCCCCTGTAGTCTGCACCATGGGGCTACTCTGTGTAGTGCAGGGCTTGAACTGGACCTGCCCAAGATAACTGTGGGCTATTGTCCCCTCTCTCCCCAGGGAGGTGCTGTGCCTTTGGCCAGGAAACTACAGGCCACCAGGACAGAGCTGCGACTGTTCAATAAGCTGGCAGAGCTGCACATTGGGCTACGGAGCTATGAGAAGGCGCTGGAATTTGCCACGCTGGCAGCCAGGCTCAGCAGCAGTGTAGGTGAGTGATCCCTCCCCAGGCGCCAGGAGTCTGTCCCCATGAGAGAGTGAGTAGGTGGGAAGAGAGGAAGGTCTGTCTGAATGTATTGGCCTGGAAGGTGAGTTGTTGCTGGATTAATGAAGCTCTACGTGGTCTTTCATTATCTCAGGATAAAGTCTGATTAAGCACGTGGCTGGGGGCTTGGCTGATGGTCTCATGGGAATGCCCAACTCTCCTTCAATGGCATGATGGACACCTGAGTTTGATGGGAAGTTTGTTGGTTTGCTAAAGCCTGAGAAATTCTGGGTGGGTGTAATGTGGTTACTCCTCACTGCTCTGGTTCTTATTTCCCCATGTACCTCCTCACTCTGCATGGACGTTGTTTAACGGGGCAAGAACCGTTAAGGCCAATTCCAGTGTACTGCACTGAGCTGCAGCTTATGTCGAAACAGTCCGAGTAATCCCAGCATACCCAGAGAGTGATACATTGAATTACGTACATGTAGGCATTCATCCCCTGTTAACCTGTGCTGATGGTGACAATGATCCTGTTGATGGCCATGTCCCTGCTGGGCCATCTTTATGCCATTCTCAAATGTCCCTTATTCATAAATGCTCACTCTTCCCCTGACTGCTCGCCTATTCCAGAATTCCTTGGGATTCCTGGGCTCCTTGCTCAATTGCCCAGGAATGCTGGCTGCAGTATCATTGTAACTTTTCCCAGGAGATCAGCTGCACGAGGTGGTTGCATTTCACCGCCTGGCTGCGGTGTACTATTCCCTGCAGATGTATGAGATGGCGGAGGACTGCTACTTGAAGACACTTGCCCTGCACTCTCCTGTGCTGCAGGGTGCAGAAGAGGCCTTGTACTATTCCAAGGTTTACTGCCACCTTGGCAACCTGACCCAGCACAAACTGAAGGTGAGAAGCGGAGCCGTGAGGGCAGAGGACTGGACTGATGTCCCTTCCAGTTCTATGTTTCTGTAGTGTGCTATGCTGAATATAATGGTGTTGCTGGAGTATTAATCCCTCTGCCTGTCCTGGAATTCAGCTGCTAGATCCAGTGGCTGGGCCTGGTCCGGTTCCAGCTCTATCCGCTGGGCACTTCATTTCAAACCAGTCACTCATGTTTTCCCTTGTCCTTTGTGGTTAGGATGAACAAGATGCTGCTGCCTACTTCCTATTGGCTCTTGCTGCTGCCACAGAGCTAGGAGACCAGAAGCTCCAAGGTGCCATACATGCGAAGCTGGCTGCTATATACAATGCTCCCCTGTGGCACAAGAGCCCGGACTGGTGTACTGCCTATAGGGGCAGGTGGCTGAGTGAAGGAGGATATGTCATCTGAGAAGCCACCTGATGGAATCCACATGCTCCAACATGGGAAATAGCTGAACCAAGTTATCTTCCTACCTCACTGCTGAAGAGCAGCCATTTGCTATGAGAGCAACAGCAAACAGTCCATGGATAGCGCTGCACCACAGCCTGTTCCCGAGCTGGGTTATCCTCGCACGTCAAACAGAAAGACCAGCTGTACAGGACAAGACACCCTCCTCTCAGCTCACAGGCAGACTGTGGTCTTGGGTCACCAGGCAACCAGGTGAAATCATCAGCCTTGCCTTGCCAGTTAGTATCACTAACAAAGCACGAAAGCAGGAAACCCCCCCACCAGCCAGACCCCACTTCCAAACCACACTCCCTGCGTGTGCTCTGCTACATGTAGGATGCTAAGTGACATCTCAGTTACCCGCCTGAGTTAGGATAGACCCCAAGTCCAGTGTTTGAGTGCATGTGATGGCGGTTATGGGACTGACCACTAGATGGCACTCCAAGAACGCAGCTGACTGGGGAATGCACTGACACCAATGGTGGGAAAGTGTGTATGATCTTCAGTCTGATGCTCATCTCAGAGCCCTTCCAGACTGGGACTAAGCAAATGGGCCTTTGGGGGCCATTGGTGGGAGCTTTGGCTCTCATTCCAGAAGTATTTTAATGTGTCCAATTGCAAATGTGTTATTTATTTCTGTATTTTCTCTTTGGTCTGCCTCCTGTGTTGGGGGCAGATGAGCTGTCTGGATGCCACACGCCCACCGGCTCCATTATAAAGTATCTGTCATACTAAGCACAACTCACTTCTTCTAATGAGAGAAAAGCGAGATGTTTGTTCCCAAGATTACTCCAGCGCCTATGTGGGTACAGTACATAGGTGGCAGTTTCCCATGCGAGAGGGAGGAACTGTCCCCACTAAAGCCACAGGCACAGGGGCAGACGGGATTCTGACTTTGCAGCATGAAGGGAGTAGGCGGGCAGGTACCATGTGTAGGTACCCGACGCTTTCTGCTTGCACAGGTGAGGCAATTGCTAAGCTACAGCCCATTGTATGAAGTTGCAACGTGCACCCCCAGTCACACCTAGAAGGTGTGCAGGGATGATGTGCCTGGGCCATCCCCCTCAGCCACACTGGCCTTGCCTCCTAAGGGCTGTGCTTCACCAATATGCTAGATGGCAACCCAGACTAGCTTTCAAGGGACTGCACTAGGTGGCTACGTCTACACTGGCCCCTTTTCCGGAAGGGGCATGTAAATTTCACGAGTCGTCGTAGGGAAATCCGCGGGGGATTTAAATATCCCCCGCGGCATTTAAATAAAAAGGTCCGCCGCTTTTTTCCGGCTTTTAAAAAAGCCGGAAAAGAGCGTCTACACTGGCCCCGATCCTCCGGAAAAAGTGCCCTTTTCCGGAGGCTCTTAAATCCCGGGCTTCATTTGCAAGTGCGGTATGCCTACATTACCCTCCTAGTTCGAACTAGCGGGGTAGTGTAAACATACCCTGGGACAGTTCCATTTTGACCTGGGTGTTTCAGAAAAGCAGGGGAGTTGAAAGCCTCCATGGGCCTCTGGACAAGGTATGGGGGGGATGGCTCCATGCTCCTGGTGAGGCCAGGGCCCCAAGCAGAAAAAGCATGGCAGGGGACAGCCATCCCTCAGTGCCGGCCAAACCACAGCCCTCGACCCTCAAAGCTGCCCAGAATGCACAACGCTGCACTCCAGTGGTGATTTAAACAGCCTGGGCTTTGGACCCCACTGTTTCTATAGTAGTGGCAGTGGCCAAGAGCCCTTAGTCCCCTTTGCATAGCGACGCCCTGGGGTAACTGCCCTCTTTGCTCCCCCCGTCCCTGTCAGTGGGCCTGCAGAGAAGTGACCAATGTACCATCACACAAGGAACAGCGACAGTACTGGAGGTTGTTCTGCTGCTGGTTTCTAAATACAAGCACCTTTCCCTTCTGGAGGAGTTCATTGCAAAAGGAAAAATCTCTCTGTTTCTTGAGCCCTTAATGCTTCTTTGCATCCACTTCTTACCAGGTATTGTAAGAGCGGTCAAGGCGGGCGGGAGGTGAGATTTCAAGAACCAACAGGTTTCTGGCATTCTCATCCCTGCCTGCCTGTTAGACATGGATGAGATGGAGAAGGCCGGGAAAGTGGGTACATTTCTGGTGCCCAGAAAGCAATGGGAGGGAGGTGGGGGCAGGGAGGGAAGGATTGGGGAAGGGGAGTGTAACACACTTGCTGTCTCCATAATGCTATAACTCTGTGCTGTTTCCAAAGCCCCTGGAATCCCAGGGCTCTCCTCAGGATCTCCTTCACAAGCTGCACAAAGCAGCCAGCTCTGTTTAAGCCGTGGGGGATGGAGGGGGAGGGGAGGGGCAGGGGCATGGCAGCCGCTGTTCTGCCCCAGCAGCAGGGAGCAGAAGTGACTGGCAAATCCCAAGTCTGACAGTGACCGCCTGGCCTGCAGAGAGGAGCGGCTAAGGGTCATTCTGTGCAGGCACTGCCCATTGCACAAGTGGCAGGAGGGTGTGCTGTGAGATGGCAGGGAGGAACAGCCAGTCCCTTTGGCTGGGTCCCATGATACCAGCCGGGAGAGAGGGAGTGTTTCTGTGAGGGCCCGTCTGCCTGCAGTCCGAGTTTCTCTGTGTTTTGTTAGGCCAGCAGAACAGGGCCCATTGTGACCCAGTAGCTGCACTGGGCACTGGAGAAGTACAAAGACACTTTGGAGTGGAAATGGAACAAGCAGGTAGGCGAGTGCCAAGTGTGCCCAGCTACTGAACACTTACGGGTGACTTACCGTCTGTACCATAATGCAGCACTAGAGGGCAATAAATCACAGTTCTGCCAGGCTGGCTCTGCTTAGTCCTGATTCAAAACAAACAAGATTTTCATTTTTAATTTATATGGATTTAGGAGCAGGTGTAGTGGAGGGCTAAGCTGCTGAGGCCCAGTGCTTCAGGAACACCTGCAGAGGGCTCCGTGTTTGGGCAACAAGAGGCCGATCCATCCAGCCCGGCTGTCATCAGGCACGCTGTTGAGAGCATTTTCATACTGTTTTTATTTGTTCATAAATCCTAAACAAATGACAATTTTTCTCTGCCGCTTTTTGTGAGCCCAGCTTTGTTCTCACTCCGGGTTGCATGAAGCATCTGATGATATGGCAATGGATTGTTTTGTTGCCTGTTTAGCTGAATGTGACCAGTCAAGGCCATTAGCCTGCCAGCCCCGCCCTGGGGATAGCCTGGAGAGGGATAAATCCTAATCCCATCCAAAGCACTGCAGGCTCTGAGAAGAGCCTTCAGCAGACTGCTCTCTTCCTCTTGCTACTTTTTATTTTCTACATTTCAATGGGGTTTGCCACCCTGACTAGTATTGCTTCTGTCAGACAGTGCCTAAAAATGCCCTTCGGTGCACTACCATGAGGGAGGAAAATGGGACGGGGGGGAGAGTTGGGGAGTTGGGTGTCTGTTTATGGCAGGGAAATTCTAACATCACTTGGGCAGCAGAGGACGATCAGAGCTTTCCCATGACATTACACAGAAAATATAGGATCTGTACAATGGTAGCTGGATTTTAGCTTTGGTTCCTCATCCGGTTCTTCTTAAATCTTCTAGTTGAAAGTCATGTGAAGTGCAGAGCTCCCTGCATCAGACCTCAAGATGATCCAGTATTCTGGCTGGAGGTTAGAGCATTCTGAAGGATGCTCTTAAAGAGCCCGATTCTCATTTACATTATCATCACTCTTGTAGTGCAAGGCTGTGTCTAGACTGGCAAGTTTTTCCGCAAAATCATCTGATTTTGCGGAAAAACTTGCCAGCTGTCTACACTGGCCGTTTGAATTTCCGCAAGAACACTGACGATCTCATGTAAGATCGTCAGTGCTTTTCCGGAAATACTATGCTGCTCCCGTTCGGGCAAAAACCCTCTTGCGCAAATCATTTGCACAAGAGGGCCAGTGTAAACAGCACAGTACTGTTTTCCGCAAAAAAGCCCGATCACGAAAATGGCGATCGGGGCTTTTTTGCGGAAAACCGCATCTAGATTGGCCACGGATGCTTTTCCGCAAAAAGTGCTTTTGTGGAAAAGCATCCTGCCAATCTAGACGTGCTTTTCCAAAAATGCTTTTAACGGAAAACTTTTCTGCTAAAAGCATTTTCGGAAAATCATGCCAGTGTAGACGTAGCCCAAGTGTAAGGTAACATGAATGCACTTTAAGTGCCACTGGTATTTCCAGAGACTTGCAAAGAGATTCTTGTCTTCCAGGACACTCCGTCATGCCTCTCAGCCTTTCTAGATCCAAAATAAGGCCCATACAAAATCACATATGCAGAAACATCAAATGTTGTCCCAGTCCTTTCTTTAGAGGCAATAACTTCCTACAACCTCAGCATCAGGGGTTTGCATTTCTGGTGTTAACCATGTTCAGCAATAGATGTGAGAGCGCCTCGGGTGTGGGTTCAACAGTGGGGCTAAGATGAGCGCTGGGACCTGAGAGAGCTCTGCCCTTGGTTTATCCCTGGCTAGATTTCACCCTGAATGCGCAATGGCTGCTTTCAGATCCTGAATCATCTACGCTATGTCTACACTACAAAGAAAAGTTGGAAAAAAATATGCAAGTTGCGAACCACAATTTGCATATCTTTTGCTGCTTTTCTTCTGAAAGAGGCTTTTCCGACATTTGGCCCATCTACACAGGGCCAAATGTCAGAAAAAACCCCTCTTTCAGAACATCCCGTCTTCCTCATAAAACGAGGCTTACAGGGATGCCAAATAAAGCATCTGCTTTTCTGATTTTTTTTTTCAGAAAAGCAGACATGTTCCTTGGTATCCTGTAAAAGCTCTGTAGTCTAGACGTACCTAGTGTGAGACACTTGAATTTATTAGCTTATGCTGGTCTTTATTTGCATCTTTTATTACTGATCAGTGTTTGTATGGTGGTTGTGCCCAGACGCAGCTGTTAGGCCCCTATTGCTAAGCTATGAACATGAACATTGTCCTTATGTCATGAATGCTCCAGCCCCAGAGAGTGCAGTCTCACTATCACCGTTCACATTTCTTCTTGTAGAAATTAAATAAACCTCAGAACTGGTGCAAAGTAAATTGCCCTTGGGGAAAAAAATCTTTTCACTGTTAGTTATCTAAGGTCTTATTTCTAACACAGGTGAGAAAATGGCCAGGTCAACAGCTGTGTTAATCAGTGTCGTTCCACAGAACTCCATGGCATTTTGCTCCACCTGATAATCTGGCCCGTGATTTGCAACCTGACATGGCCCCTTTAAATCACAGTGAACGATTCAGTGCTGCCTGGGAAAAATAAATAGCAGAAAGACTCTCCTGGGAATGTCCCATGTAGCCACAGTTCCCTTCCCTCCTCCCCTGCTAAATCTGGGCTGCTTTCCTAGCAGGATGTGAGGTCATGATAGCCAGGGTTAACTCAACTGAACAGTAATTCTTGGAAATAAAACGAAAGTTGGAGAGTTCAGTCACTCCCTGGATACAGCAAGATACAGCAAGTCTGCCTTCTGCCATACCAGTGGCAGTTGCTGTGGCTGTGGCTGTGGCTGTGGCTGTGCCCAAGAGAGTTTGAGGACATGGGGTTCCTCCAGCCAGCAACATCAAATCTTGGGCAAAGAGAAAGTGAACAGCTGATTTGTGATGTTGTGGCATTGGAAAGTGAAGGTGGCCCATGTTCTAGCTCAGAGCGGACTCTGTTCCATTCCTCAAAGAGTCATATACTTGGAGGACAGAAAATCCCAGCTGAATGGGGCAAGTGAAATACCCAGTGCCACACAGAGTT